GAAGACTCCCCAAGATGACTGAGGGGGCCTAGGGGAGGGGCCGGGTGGCTCAGGGTCTTCCTCCTTGATAGGCCATTCTCTCTTGGCCAGGTGTAGGGGGACAGTATTCTGACTCAAACCGTCCATCCTTCCATCTCTTCCCCAACATGACATCCCAGAAATACCCAACCTTCTGCAAGGCCTCCTGGCCCAAGTCACCCTACAGTCTCTGTAAGCCAGTCCCTGGCGGGAGGGGCGTGGAGGGGACGAGAGATCTCATGATGGTGGGGGAGTTAAATAGGCTCCTTTTCTTCCTTCATTTTATTTTTTCCTTTCTCTCTCTCTCTTTCTTCCTCTCTTTCTTCCTCCTTAGAAGATTTCCCATTATAAACAGTACAAGAGAATCTGTGTCGCTTTGTTAGGCAGAAACAAGCTGGGGCAAATGCTCGCAGGGTGGTTTCATCCTGAACCAAGGCATTCCTCCGGGGGTGAAATGCGGGCACACCTCGCTCTGCTCTCCCCCACCCCCCTGCAGTCACAGCTGTTACTGACAACATCTGGAGCACGCACACCTGCTGCCGGCCCGGTGGGGTGTGTGCCAGGTTTGAAGTGCCTCAGGTTCATGAACTCACCCAATCCTTGCAGCTCCATGATGTGTTCCTATTGCTATTCCCATTTTGCAGGTGAAGCGGAGGCACCTCGACCCCAGAGCCTGCGTGGGGAAGAAGTGGGAGCTGGTCTTGGACAGTCCAATGGCAGAGACCAAGCTCCTCTAGCTTCTGTTCCCAAAGGTTCTCTCTAGCCTGCTCCACAAGCCCCGTTACGGGCAAGGAAACCGAGGCTGCTCAGAATCAAGGTTTTCATCAAGGTCACTCAACTGGTCGGCGCCTGCGAAGCCCAGAGCCTTTCCCAGTCCTCGTTCAGGCCTGGGAGGTAACACTGGTCGCAGAAAACTCACCGCTGAGGGGCCTTGGAGCAGACATTTGTAGTTAGAAAATAAATAATCCAACTCCCTGGTGTCAAGGCCCATAGGACCACCCTGCCTGCCACTGACTCAGCTCTTCTGTGGGCAGTGACCTGCCATGTGCCCAGGAGCCACAGACATGTCCCACCTGGGGACTCCCCATGGCTGCGCCAAGGACCATAGCCTGTGCCTAGAGCTGGAGGGAAGGGTCCTTCCCAGAGACTATTAGAGCATGCAGTCCCTGCTGCGCCCAGGACACACCCAACACATTTAGAGGCATCTACCCCTGAGGGCTGGCAGAAGGGACTTTGGAACAACCACTGGAGTCCTTGCCCCAAGCTTCAAATTTGAGGACAAGGGTACAAAGCCCCTGGGAAGCCACCAGCCAACACCTTTGGCTAAAGAGTAGATTCACAAACAATGATTAATGGCTACGTTGTCATTCCCTAGGAACTTCTAAAGTGCCTCTTTGACAACAGTGGGCCCCCTGGATCCTATTGTCACTTATATTCTCCCATCTGCTGACCTCGGCTGTTCCCACAACTCCTGTCATCTGGGACCCCTGCTCAGGCAGCAGACGGGGGAAAGCAAGGGAGTGGGGGCACAGTGTCCCAAAATGTATATGAAGGAGGCCTCAGAGCGGGTGAGTGGGGGGTAAACGAGGTGTGATGTGGCCATGGGATGGGGTTGTAATCAGTCATTTACCATCATGGGTTTGAGGACTCTTTGATGACATAGAAAAGCCTATGGGATCCTCTCCATTGGCACGCGCACACTGGCATGACTCTGCAGGACACATGCCAGCGTGTGCACCACCCTCGTTTCAGAGCCACAGAACTTGTTTTTCATGCAGTTCTTTATATTCTGCTCTGTTTTACAACCACCATGTGTATCTTACATAAGAATGGATGTAAAGAAAAGGGGATGGCTAAAACGAACGTGACCTTAGGAGTCAGACAAATCTGAGTTTAAATACCAGCTGCACAACGCGATGGTCAGATGATCGTGGACAAAATGTGCCATCCAGAGCCTGACTTTCCTCATCTGCAAACTGGTGCTGATGATAGAGATGGTCACACAAAGTCCCTTTCATTTTTTAATATTTTTAATTGATTTTTGGAGAGAGAGGGAGAGAGAGAGAGAGAGAGAAACATGGATGTGAGAGAGAAACATCAATCGACTGTCTCCTGCATGCACCCCAACCTGAGATGGAGCCTGCCACCTGGACATGTGCCCTGATCAGGGATCAAACCAACGGCCTTTCAGTGCAAGGGATGATATTCAACCAACTGAGCCACACCAGCCCAGACTCAGCTGTCCTTTAAATGGCAGGTGCTCTCCAACTCATGAAGTATCCTCTGCTCCCAGAGAAGGCCCACCCCACCTGGCAGGCGGCCTTGGAGGGGACAGATGTGCTCCATTCTCTCTGCTGAGGCTGGTAGCGGAGAGGAGGGTTGGGCTGGGGTCCTGTTGCTGAGTGAAATGAAAACTTGTGAAATTCATGGGTTGCCTTCTTCCACCTTTGAAAGAGCAGTTGGTCCCATTTGAGGAAGAGGTTACAGGAGGCAGGCTCTCAGGACAAAAATAGGCTGTGCATGCGGCTGCTTCTCTCACTTACTCATCTTGCCCAGAAATCATCTCTGACTCTCTCTGGATATGTGTTCTTTGTGCTTCCTGAGGAATCCAGGCACTATATATATATATTGCATCTCAATTGAGATATAACGCACATATCACACAATTCACCCGCTTAAAGTGTTTAATTCAATAGTTTTCAGTATATTTCAGAATTGTACAATCACTATCAATTTTAGAAAATTTTCATCACCCTATAGAGGAGCCCCTTCCCCATTAGCTGCCATCACCTGCTCCCCCAGCCCCGGGCAATGCCTACTCTACTTTCTGCCCCTAGAGATGTGCCTATTCTGGACATTTCACAGCCAAATGAATCATAGACTATGTGGTCTCTCTTGACTGGCTTCTTCCACTTGGCATAGAGTTTTTAAGGCTGATCCGTGTCATAGCTCGTATCAGTACCCCATTCCCGTGTGTTGCTGCATAATGTTCCATTGTATGGCTCTGCCACATTTTGTTTCTCCACTCACCACCTGGGGGACATTCAGCATCCTTTTGGAATTTAATATATTAACTGTAATGATAGCTGTGATCTGTTGAATACCTACTATGTGTGGGCACTTGACCCAATTCTAATCCTTTTTTTTTAAATATATTTTATTGATTTTTTACAGAGAGGAAGGGAGAGGGATAGAGAGTTAGAAACATCGATGAGAGAGAAATATCGATCAGCTGCCTCTTGCACACCCCCTCCTGGGGATGTGCCCACAACCAAGGTACATGCCCTTGACTGGAATCGAACCTGGGACCCTTGAGTCCGCAGGCTGATGCTCTACCCACTGAGCCAAACCAGTTAGGGCCCCAATTCTAATCCTTACAACAGTCCAGGAAGGCAAGAGTACTTCTCCCATCATGCTGACAAACAAGCTGAGATGTAGAGGTGAAATGGCTCATCCAAGGTCACACTAGTGACAGAGCTGGGATGACAAAAGAGTTGGCTTGGCCCCTCCACATCCTCCCACTGCACCTCGCTGCCCCGCCACCCCGGCTGCTCCGCTCTCTCCTTCCAGTTGGCTCTGAGGCCAGAACAAGAAAGAATCCACTCACCTAGCGATTATTATTCAACAAGCTCTAACTGGCACCACACAGGTGGCAAGCACACATTAGTCACTGAGCAGGTGAGACCCAGATGCCGCCTCCTGGAGCTGGCTGTCCAGGTGAGGTGAGGTTGTCATTTGAGGAGCCAGATGCTTGTCACCAGGAAGGGTGTGACCAAGTGCCAGGAACTCAGGGCTGCTAAGAGCCCAAGGAAAGTCTTTAGAGGAGATGGCATTTCGAACAGGACCCCCGAGGGCCAGGCAGGTTTCCCTGGCAGAGACGGGGCGAGCCCCAGGTGCAGAGAAAATGGGCCTTCACAGACCCTGAGACCAGGAACCTGGGTCCATGGGGATGAGTTCTGTGTCCTTGGAGGTGGAAGGTGAAGAGGGCAGGGGAGAGGAAGAGGTTGGCATCACATTGCTAAGAGCCTTGAATGCAAGGCAGGAATCTAGACTTTTTATGTGGGCAGCAGGGAGCCTTCCTGAAAACAAAAACAGAAACTTTCTGAGCAAGATTAGGTGAAAGATATCCCTTAGGGCTCTGGTGTTGGTCTCCAGACCCAGGCTCCTGGACCCCTGGAAATTACTCTTCAGCAGTTCAGAGAAGAGCTGGCTTCAGACCCTGTGCATCTCATATTCCCAGCAGCTAGGACCATGCCTGACCCGTTCATTGTAGGGGCTCAATAAACATTTGTTGAATGAATGATAATGAATGAATGAATGAATGAATGCCAGCCCCCTCTCCTTCACTGTCCTCCCCCAGCTAAGTGGAATGGAACATCTAATGTATCACAGATCTCCCATCTCCCTCCGGGCCCCTCAACTTCTCCCTCCTTGCTACCCTCTCCTCTCTGGCCATGGGCAAATACAGGAACAAACACTCAAGTGTCCCTGCCATGTGCTAAACAGTAGCAATTACTTTAAATTCTCACCATCGCCCTCAGGATAGAAATGACTAACTGCACTTCACAGGTGAGGAAATTGGGATTCAGAATGGTGCAGGGACTTGCCCCGCAGCTGAGTGGCAGGCGTGAGACCCACATGGGGACCTTCTGACTCACCTAGTGTTCCCACTTGAGTGGGGGGGAGTGTTGAGGTGGAGGTGAGGTGGGGAAGAAGAGGAGACAAAAGAAGAGATTCCTTGGGGCAGGAGGGTGTCAAGCCCTCATCCCAGAACCAGGTGGGTGGATCCCAGTCTCAGGGCTTCTGTTCCACCTGTGGGTCCAGCGGCCACACCAGGACGCTGCAGTCAGATTCCTCCACCTCCACTTGGGCGCTCACTGCCCCAGGCTGGGGCACCGGGTAGGAATACACACCCATGCCCACACACGCGCACACGCACACACACACCCATAGCCCCAAAGCCTGGAGAAGCGGAGCAATAGTTGCCTTAGGCAGAGATGCTTTATTTATCTCAAAATTATCCCCCAGAGGAAATTTTTGTTTAACACTCTAAGTTTAAGTAATCATGCCCCTTCTTGAAGATGAAAACATGCCTAAAAGGCTTCGTTGGAAATCCTTCGGTCAAGCAGGCCAGCTGGTTCCCAAGGCTCCTTGGGTGGCCTGACTCCATCACTGTTCTTAAAGCCTTCAGGAACTTCAGGAAGAACCTCCAACTCCAGAACCCTCTCGTTTTACAGATGGGAAGATTGACGCTTAGACCAGACAAGGGTCTGCCTCAGGTCCTCCAGCATCAGCGGCAGAGCTGGGACTTAGGTCCAGGGACCCCACCCCCACCCTGTCTGCTCCTCTTCCTCTCCACGGCTCTCTGCCATCCTACCACCAAGGCTGTGCCTGTGAGGGGGAGCTGGGTGCCACCTCTAGACACCAGACAGCGTAGCTGAGGCATGACGACCTGACCTGGCTCTTCACCTGGAAATCCACCTGACAGCACAGAGCCCAGGCACATCGGGGCCTCAGGGCCAACCGTCACATCACCTCCCCTGGGCCAAGTCTGCCGAAGCCCTGGGCTTCCTGCCCTGGACCAGAGAGAACCTCCCCGTGCCTTTGCCTCGGGTCTACATGATGTCAATCAGCCTGGCAACTGAGATTCTTTTCCTGCTGATCAAAAGTCTCGACTGGTAGTTAAATACATCTTTTTTTAAAAAGATAAAAACATGGCTACTTGCCCAGCCGGTATGGCTTAGTGGTTGAGCATCGACCTATGAACCAGGAGGTCATGGTTTGATTCCCGGTCAGGGCACATGCCTGGGTTGCGGGCTTGATCCCCAGTGTGGGGCGTGCAGGATGCAGCCGATCAATGAATCTCTGTCATCGTTGATGTTTCTATCTCTCTCCCTCTTTCTTCCTCTCTCTGAAGTCAATAAAAATATATTTAAATAATAATAATAATGGCTACTTAATACAAGTAGCCAGGGTGGGCAAAGTCTTTCTGGACACGGGTGCTCCAAGAAAGATAAACAACAGCATCTGAGGGCTAAAAAGTAGCTGCAGGGGCGGTTGCTTTCTTCCGGCACTCGAGGTACATCAGGACGGGGTGGGCGAAGGTCAGGAGAGTGACCAGCACCAGCATCACGTTCACCTGGAGGGGGAGGGGCGGAGTGAGGCGGAGCCCAGGACTCTGAGCAGCACCCACCACCAGCAAAGGGACCAGAATTCTGCCTGGTTCCTCTTCCACTGTCCACTCAGACACCATGGTGCCTCAAGGAAAGACTAGCAGGTGCTTTTCAGTCTGCCCTGTGGAGTGAGCTGGGGAAAGGATCTTATGCCCATTTCACAGGTGAAGAAACAGAGGCCTCCAGAGCAGCCAGTGACCTGCGCAAGGTCACGTGGGAAGTGGGTGGAGGCCCCAGCTAAGCACACCTCTCCTGACTATTAAGTGAGGGTCGTCCAATGTCAATCTAGCAATTCTCCTCGGTTGTAGGTTCAGTCCTTTCTTTTTCTCCCAACAACTGATTGGAACTCTCGTTCTACACTTTGCTGACCTTTTAAATGCGGCTGACAGAGCTGTGCGGTGGTCAGGGCACTCTCAGGTTTGGGGGCGCCCCCTGCTGGGGTCCCACAGAGTTGCCCCAGGTTGAAAATCCTTGCTGGTCAAAGGCCAGGACCCCTGCTGTCCCCAGGGTACTTACGTAGAACGGGTCGTTCTGGAGGGGGCCTTTGATGAGCATGAAGATGGGGAACTGCAGCAGAGACACGATGGCTGACAGGGCCATCACCAGCCCAAAGAGCTTCCCAAAGTGCTCCGAAGGGAAGCTGGGGAGACACAAGGGGGTTCCAGTGAGCTTCGGGGTACCTCCCCCCAGTAGGGGCCTGGCCTCGGTGGGCCTTTGTCAGCTACTTGCTCCCGACTCCCCCATCCTAGGCTTGCCTTCACCCACCCACCCCCACGCAACCCTTCCCCCTCTGCCGTGGCTCAGCTTTTCAAACCACAGAACACAGAGAAGGCATTGTGCCGGGCCCTGGGAAACCAGCAGGGACCCAGTCACAGGCTGTGCCCCGGGGAAGCCTCAAGGAAAGGACAGACACGTCAACAGATCACTCTATGCCAGATGATGCATGCACTGAGGAAGCAAGACTAGGTTGGGTGCCAAGGGCACAAAGAAAACTTTCTTTCCTGGGAGAGTTGGAACAGAGGGCCCTGCCTGGTGAATAGGAGTTCACTGGATAGATGACAGAGGCAGAGGGGAGAGCTGATGTGAAGGCTCCCACCAGCTCCCACCTCCAGGCATCACCCCCTCCACCTGCTCCCAGACCGTCTCCCTCACCTGACCACCGCCAGGCCCATCCTCACCTCCTAATGTCTTACCTCCAGCACACTTCTTTTTGCCTCAGCGTGTCCCCCATTATGTAATGCACCCCAAGCCCACTTACGCAAGGGTGAGGAAGGCAGCGTTGCCCCCATAGAGGAAGGAGCGGCTGATCACTTGCAGGACGAAGGTGCCATACTGGAGGGGGAGGACAGGGACCGAGGCACAGATGGCAAAGCCCAGGCACAGCAAAGACGTCAGGGCCAGCGAAGGCACCGCTGCGGAAAGGGCTGCGACTGAGGCTGAAGAACCTGGTTCAAAGGGGGAGAGGAGAGGCTGCCTGGAGGGGGCACCATGGAGGGCAGGGAGGGGGCGAGAAGATGGGGAGAAAAGGAGGAGCCACATGCACCCAACCATCCAGGCCGAAGCCTGGGGTCATTCTTGAATCCTCCTTCGCCCACATGCCCCATCTTCAATCCATCGTCAATGTTGATAATCACCACTTAAATATCATTCAGATGTACCCACTCCTCTCCGTCCCCACTGGCGCTCTCTGGTCATAGGCCACCATCAACTCACTCATAGATTCTTACAATGACCTCTGACTGGGCCCCGAATCAGCTCTGGCCCCCTCCAACCCAAAGCCAGTTTTTCTCAGTAGCACTACAGGTGATGGCCAAAGACTGGACGCCATCCAAATAGCCACCAAGAGGGGAATGCCACATCGACTCCGCTGCAGCCACACCGGAGAACCAGGCAGCAGCCCAAGGGATGAGGGCAGATCCCTGTGGAACGGGACAGGGGTGAGGAAAGAGTGAAGAAACCAAATGGAGTCACTGTGGTCAAGCTGACAAAAACCACCCTCTAATACCGAGAGGATTGCGTCTACCGGTCACAGGCACTGGATTGGTAAAGTTTCCACTGGCCAAAGACGGGACAATTCAGGCATCCAGAAGAATGCTGATAGAAATACATTCAAATATATTTAAAATGAAACTCTTAAAGACAAACAACGGGTAGTCACCCTAGAGGTTGCTAAGGCAACGTCATTATTATGAAATGCAAACAGAGGAACAACCAAGCATTTATTTCAGAATAACAAACAGATCATAAATAAGGAAAAATTCCTCTTTCCAGGGGAATTCTAGCTATTAAAAGCGGGAGGGAAGCCAGAAATAGAAAATCGCCATTTTGTAACCCTAATACAATAATGGGTCCAGGCATTGATCCTCAATGGCGGCTAAAATCATTAGGCAGGCAGCTGATGGGAAACGTTATAATGGGCCATTGGATGGACATTGTCTGAACCCACTGATCAATCCTAACATCATAAAGCAGGGACAACGGTACCAGGGGCCCACTGCGCTCCAGCGCTGAATCATTCTCACCCAAAAATATTACACCAAGTCTTCTCAGCCTCCAATCTGCCGGTTTACAAGAAATACCCAATCAAAGAGACATTTTTTTCAGTGACAGGAAAAGGATGCCAAATCCAAAATTGGGAGATTTGACAGGCCAAATGACCCGGTTTCTTCAACAAATAAACAACAGGGTGGGAAAAAGTGAGAGCAGGGCACAGATTTTTAAAGACAGAAAAGGAACACCAAACAAAAATACATTGTGTGGGTACTATTATTATACTTAAAACCCTTTAATTCCTGAAATATTAATGTTTATTGCATGTAACATTATTATATGTAAGATTTTTTTTTCTTGAATAAAAAAATACACTTTGTGGACCCTAATTTGAACAAACCAACTGTAAAAAGACCTATTTGAAACAACTGGGGAAATCTGAACAGAACTGCTTATTAGATGATAGTAAGAAACTACTGGGTGTTTTAGGGGTGATAATGATATTATGGGGATGTGTGAGTCAGAGAGGCCTCATTTGTTAGCGATATGAACTGAAGTGTTTACAGATGAAATGATTTGATGTCTGAAACTTGCTTTCACAGACTCCATCCAGCTGGGGTAGGAGAGAGGCAGTGCCAGGAAGTGGGGGAGGGGTGTGGAACAGTTACTCTACTTTAGTCTCTCCCCACCCCCGACCTCCACGGGTTAATATGCCTCAGTGCTCCTCTCTTCCTCCAACACATCCAAGGATCCTGTGCAAGCTCCTTGGTTGGTGTTCTGCCTGCCCCTTCTTACTTCTCTCCCTCCAGCCCTTTCCCATTGCTCTCCAGCACTCTGTGCCCTGGCAAGTCTGAATCACTTTCTGGAATTCCCCAGATTCTTCAATGTTTTGCTCTCTCCTTCACCATCTTAACCCCACCACATTCTTGGGCCACTTCCAGGACCCTCCTCTTCACTCCTCACTTCTTACTCATCCTTCAGGTCCCGGCTCAGATGCCACTTCCTCCAGGAAGCCTTCCCTGACACCAACCCCATCCTCTCCTGGACCAGGTTATGTGCCCTTCTTCGTGTCCCCATAGCCCCCTGTAGGTTTACTTCATGGACTGCAATGACTGACACTTGCCTTTCTCCAACCTCTAGACTGAGTACAGCTTGACAACAAGGTCGTATCTGCCTCGTCCATTGTTGCACCTGGAACTGTGGCTGGCTCATCATTGGCACTCAATGACTAGTGGGTGAGTGGATGGATGGATGGATTCAAGTACAAAAAGATTAAGATCAAAGAGAAGATGGGCATGGAGGTCAATGAAGAAGACCTCTCCCCTCCTGCTCCTTGATCCTCGGGAGCCCAGTTCTCACCTGTCTTTCTCGCTTCCTTTTGGTACTTCTGCTTAAGCCGGTCCATGAGCAGGCCGTTCCAGGGGGCACACAGCATTCCAAAGAACTGAGTGATGGCAAAGGCATTTGTGTAGCTGCTGACTGCAGAGGACAGAGGGGGGTTGGGTGGTAAGAAATTTCCAGAACTTTCTTACAGGGAGGACTCTTCTCCCCCTGCCCTTACCCAGTCTGATCCTCCTCCCCATACCCCTGCTCAGATCTCCCTCTGGAGCACACAGCCCCGTTGAGCTTAGCACCCCACACCCTCGAGATTCCAAGTCCCCAGCGGGATATGCAGTAGGCTGCCTCCCAGCCCTGCCACATACCCAGAGCCCTGTCCCCACTGGCCAAGTTGGTCAGCAGAGAGTTGAGGGTGCCGATGAAGAGGTAGTGCCACAACTGTATCACAGACAGCCACACCAGGTGCCCGGCAAAGCGCAGGGAGAAAACAGAACTCTTGAAAGAATGGGGTTCATCCAGTTGCCCTGGTCCTGGGATCTCTGTCCGGAAAGGAGGGTCTGGCATGAATTACAAGGCAAGTGGAAGGCTGGGATGGCCAAGAATGGAGAGGCCCTATTGGGACAGCCTGAGGTCCAAGTTTGCCTTCTCTTCTGGCCTTCTAGAACTCATCCAGCGAGCAATCCAAGCTGCCTGCCACTCACACAACCCCACCTCTAAGCCTTTGTCATCGGCTCTACCACCTTGAATGACCCTCTCTTGTTCTCTGTCTGTTGAAATCTCATCTGTCTTTCATAGCTTGGATTCACCACTTTTTGCACTGACACTTTATATCAATCTTTCTCAGCCAGGGTGGTGAACAGAAAGACAAGGAGAGGAGAATGGTAGAGATGAGCGGAGGGTTAGTGGTAGACAGCTGCTGTTTTGCCTATTCCCCATCCCCCGCACCCCTTTTGTTTGGTCCCAGGATCCAGGTTTCTTCTGGAAATCTCTCCTGCCCTGTTCTTCGTGATCTGATGGGACCGTGAGTCCTGTGTTCTGTGCCTCACCCAAGGTGAACCAATCGATCATTCTTCCTGGAGAAGCAGATGGGCTGTGAGGTTGGACTAGGACCCCTGGTTCTGCTCTTCCTGGAGCCTGGCAAGTTCATTTTCCCTTGATTTTTGTGAGCTTCCCAGAATCCTATTCTTGTTTCTACCTTAGCCAGCAGTGGTTGGTGATGTTTATACCAAAGACCCAAAACAGACAGAGGAAGGAAAGGAGGCGGCAATGGAGATGGGACAGTGAGAGAGGGCAGACCCAGGGGATCTGCAGAAATGGGGACAAATAAGCCAACTTGGGACTAAGAAGTTAGGGGGAAGGACAGCAATGACCGAAAACTGACTTCCGGGGAGAAAGGGAGATGAGGAGATGAGGAAAGAGGAACAAAAAACGGAGAAGAAACAAAAGTCTTGTGTCTCTCTGGACTCTCTGGATCCTAAGGTCCTTCTCCACCTGCCTTTCCTGACTCTGAGCCCTGGGGGAGCTCTGGAGGTGAGGGGCCAAGTCAACTGCAGGGAAAGGCAGGCTCTGAAGGGGAAATGGCTTACCCAGCAGGGCTCACCTTCCTTTGGTGGCAGGAACTCCTTAGCCTGTAGGTCCAGCTCTTTGGACTTGGCTGTCTCCTTCTTCTCTCTGGTGCCAGTCCCAGAGCACAGGCTGTGGAAACAGAAGCCCCCACCAGCCCAACAACTGTGAGCAGAGCCTGGGGTTCAGGCTGGAGGACACAGTGGAGTGGATCTCCAATGTCACTGCACATTGGAATCACCTTTCACCAACCCCAATGCCCACATCGCAGCCCAGGCCAGTGAAATCAGAATGCCTGGGCATGGAAGCCAAGCTTCCATATTTTTCAAAGATCTCCAAGTGACTGCAGTGATTCTCATGTGCAGCAAAGTTTGGGAAGTGTGGGAAGAGTAAAACAGGCCTGGGTTCAAATCCCAGCTCTGCCTCTTCCTAGCTGGCAACATGGCTCATACTTAACCCTTCTGAGCTTCCATTTTCCCATTTGGAAAATGGAGAAGAGGATATATAACTGATAGGATGTTCGAGAGATCAAGTCAGAGAGCACAAGCGTTGACAAACAGTAAGTGAGCGGCAAACGCGTGCCCTCCCTCTGCTGTTGGTGGTGATGGACTACAAACAGTCGCATTTTCCTTCACCTCCTCTGTTCTCCACCCTGTGCAATGGGACTGCAGCTCCAACTGTTCCCCACCCCTTGAGCCAGCCTTGGGCCAGCCTTGTCAGCAGCGTCAGCCAAGAAGACGAAGCAGACACAATGTTGTACCAATTCCAACTCTCAACTTTAGGAAACCTCTCTCGAACCCTGGAACCACCATGCGAACAAGCCCAAGCTAGCCTGCTGGAGGATGAGAGCCAGGTGACCCAGACCTCCTTGTCACCGTAAATGACTGCCATCCAGACCAGCCAGCCCCCGGCTAGTCTACTGATCAGATGAACTAGCCAACTACCCACAGACTTATGAAAAAGAATAAATGCTTAATGTTTTAAACCACTGAGTTTTGGGGTTGTTTGTTATGCAGCAATAGCTAACCAATACACCCCTGTTCTAGTCTTCCTCTTCTGTGACAGGTTTCCTCTGCTCTACTATCACCATGTCTGTCCCACCCACTGCTTCCTACCTCAGGTCACCTGAGGGGCTCTGGCCAGCAATCACCAGATCAACAGTCCTTACCCATAGCTGTAGTTGGGGGGCAGTGGGTAGGGGATGTGCCCCCGGGGCATCAGGAGGAAAGTACGCCCAACATGCCACACACTGCAGACAGAGAGGAAGAGGAAGGAGGCCCTGAGGCTGATGCCGTTTTCATAAAGGAGCTGCAGAAAAAAAGGAGGAAAAACTTAGTGTAACACCCATGTTCACAGCAACAGTTTTCACAACATCCGAAAGATGGAAGCACCCAAGTGTCCATCCACAAATGAATGGATAAACTGTGGTTATACATACAATGGAATATTATTCAGCCTTAAAAAGAAAGAAAATTCTGCCACATGCTAAAACATGGATGAACCCTAAGGACACTATGCTAAGCGAAATAAGCTAGTCACAAAAGGACAAATACTATGTGATTCCACTTATATAAGGTACTTGGCGTAGCCAAATTCACAGGAACAGAAAACAGAATGGTGGTTGCCAGGAGCTGGTGGAGGGGGAGTAGGGAGTTATTGTTTAATGGGTACAGAGTTTCAGTTTTACAAGGTTGAAAAGAGTTCTGGGGATGGATAGTGGTGATGGTTGTACAACAATATGAGATAACTTAATGCCACTGAACAGAACACTTAAAAATGGCTAAGATGGTAAATTTTATGTTATACATATTTTGTCATAAAAAAAATGTCAGTGTAAGAAGCAAGGGCAGCCCTGCTGGTGTGGCTTGGTGGTTGAGCATTGACCTATGAACCAGGAGGTCACAGTTCGATTCCCCGTCAGGGCACATGCCCGGTTGCAGGCTGGATCCCCTGTAGGGGGCGTGCAGGAGGCAGTCAATCGATGTGCTCTCATCATTGGTGTTTCTATCTCTCTCTCCCTCTTCCTTCCTCTTGGAAATCAATAAAAATATATTTTAAAAAGAGAAGAAGAAGCGAGGGCAGGGACCCCCATTTCCAAGAATAAGCCTTCTTGCCCTCCATCCTGGAAGCTGACCAAGGGGACCTGGTACACACATAGCCTCACCCTCACCCTGAGGCTCAACCAGCAGCAGGGGAAGCAACATGCCACCATTCCCACAGCCTTGTAGAGCCTCCAAGTGTGGCTTCTTGGGGGCCTTCTAACCCCGGGCTTTTTTTTTCTCAATAGCAACGAAGTCTTTTTTGTCCAAACGAAAATTATACATAAAAATTCAACTCATGAAACACATCAGTAGAGAGCGTCCCAATCATTCTCCCCTCATTCTCCTTGGTGAATGGCATAACATCAAAGGGAACCCTTCAATATTCCTCAACACTTAGTTTAAAGACCATTAATCCAGCCCAACTCCCTCATTTTACAGAGGGTAGGAGTGACATCCAGAGAGGAGCAATGAGTTGCTCAAGGTCGGAGTAAGCAGCAGCAAGGTCAGAGTGCACTAAGAACTCCAGCTCTTGCTCTGGCCCTTTCTCTTCTTCCAACTCTAAGGAGGGAGGAGGGGAAGGGAGGCACATCCAGGGGAAGGAGGGTCAACTCAGAAAGTGGCTCTTATACCAGAGGTAGGAAGGCTTGAGTAAGTACCCTAGAGGCTCAGTCTTTAGGTGACCCTTCAAGCCAAGGTGCTCATGGGACTAAGCTAGTCTCATGTCTGGGCGGTGATTCCCAGAGATCCTCCTAATCTTCCCCCGTGGCCCACAGGCTTTGCCTCTAGCCTAACACAAAGCCCAAAAGGAAGTCCCAGGTTTGGCAGGTTGGGGTGTCAAAGACTCACACTCTCATTCTTTCCACTCACTCTTAGTGTACTAACTTTTGTCCTGCAGCTAGTTGCCTCATAATCACAGTATGGCTACCACGATTCCAGCTATCACATCCACATACAAAGAGGAAGGGTGGGAAGGGGACCAAGGAGAAAGGCTTTCTTTTCGCTCTGCTCTCACCTTCCATCAGAGAGGGAAGTATCCCCTTCATCTCATTAACTAAGACCATCTCTTCCCCCACTAATTGGGGGAAGGGATTGTCAGTGATTTAGATCAATCAAGATTCATCCCCTGGGCTTGGCACTTCGCTGCCCAGATGAAATCATTAGCGCAGTGAAGAAGGTGGAATGGCTATTGGATGGGCCACAAATAGCCTGGCAACAGCCCATCCTCCTGAACCCCAGCATTAGCCTTTAGGAGAGCTGGAGAGGCCTCTGTGCCTGCTCCTGCAGTCCCTTCTAGCCACCTCCCACCTCTTTGTCCAAACAAGAGGCTCACAGGTGCAAACATTCCATTGCAAAGGGATCCCACCCTATGCCCAACACTGACCCAAGCACATCATAGCCATGCCTTCCCTTAGCTTCTGCCCAAAATCCTATGTTAAGTTTTAAAAAGGGGGCTGAAGGGTTACAAGCTCAGGCTCTAGAACCAGAAAAGCCTGTTGTCAAGCTCAAATGTCACATCTCAAGCTGCAGAAGGGATGATGGAGAGAAATCATGCAGAGTTTACTAGATAGATGTCTGGCATATGTAAGTGTTCAATAAAGCTTGGCTGGTGCTAATTTTTACCTTAATGATGAGAAAGACGGCCGAAGAAGAGTCAAATGCTCCATTGTAGAGGGTGATGATGGTCGAGCGGTGTTTGCCAAATAAGTTCCCAACCTGGAGAACATATGACCAGCCTGAGTCACCTACGTATTCATGGAAGCAATGTGCGCCCAGCCTGTGCCAGGCCATCATTATACCCCAGACCACCTTCCACCCAGCAGCCACCACCCTGGCATGGGCCAGCCCCCTGTTGAGGCAGCTGATGTGGAAAAGTGTTTCGATGCCCTCATCCCTCCCCAACCTCCCGCCAGGTGCCTGGGATGTGGGCAGGATTCCACCTGCAGGTTGGTCATCAGAAACAGGATTCCCCCAACGGAAAGCATGGGCATGGCCAGGAAGAGCAGCATCGCTGAGCCTGAAACAATCGAAGACAGAGATGGGTGGGTTCACAGTGTGGCTCAAACACAGAGCCTCAAACTGGCTCCCACTTGCTTCAAATTCCCGACAGCCCTGGAGGCAAGGCCCCAATTCGACCCAGCCTTCTAGAAATTAGGGTCTTAGGATACTGGTCTGGTGGGGACAGAGGGACCCTGCAGAGGTCTCCTGAATCACCTTAGTCCCCACCAAAGAGGGTCATTGGTCTGTGGCATAGGAGGACTCAAAGTGAAGCCACTGCTCCCTGCCCTCACTGATCCAGAGCGACCCTCCACTCATCCCTGATACTGTGGGGTGAAGCCTGGACTCCCCAAGCAAAGCCCCTCATTCACGGCATGACTTCAAGCGGGATTCTAAGTCTATGGCTCAGTCACCTGCTCCTCCTGCCTCATGGGGCGCTGTAAGATCTCAGTGAGAAAATGGCTATGAGCTGTCCTTCCTTTGTTCATTCAACTTTGAGCACTTCCTTCAAGCCAGGCATTGTGCTCAGCACTGGAAATGCAAGCTAAGTAAAGAATACTTCTTGCCCTTGAAAAGACTGACATGCAAAAAAAGAAAAAGTCATGACAGTAGGTCTGGAAAGTGTTGGACAACAGCAAAACAACTAAAATGCCGAGGGGGAAGGGTGGCTTAATAATTAGTCTTTCCCAAACCACGAACTTCTGCCCACCTTCATGATTTTTGGCCATAACCCATGCCTGTCCTAGTGTGGCAGGACAGTAAGAAGCTAGGAACATTCCTGGGCAAGTGGAATGGGGAAACTGAGAAAAGAAAATTAAACAAGGCCAACCAGTTCTGGCAGCTTGCAGCCAGCTAGTGAATTGCAAGACTTGATCTTCCCTAATCAAGGACACTTAAAAACAAATGGTTTCTACCTCTCCTCCCTGACAGAGAATAAATAGCTTACATCACCCTGGTCAGGGAGATAGAGAACAGAGTCCCAATTAATGCCAGCCAAACCCAAGGACAGATGAAGTCAGGGGAACAAATAACAAAAACTCGACTAGAGCCAGACAGGCTCAAGATAAAAGCAAAAAACAGTCAAGCTGACCAAAGAATAATCCCACACTCCCCTACATGCTCATTTTGATGCATCAGCATATTTAAAATGCACATGGAAAGCTGATGAATATTCTGCTGAAACCCTCCCCTACGATTCTTGCCTGCAGGAGATAAAAACCCTCGACAAAGGATGCCAGCGCGGGATCTCCCAGCAGCACGCCCTTGCCTTATCCCAGGCATGAGCTTTTGTAGTTTCTTCCTCCTAAACTCTAAGGGTCCCCACAAGACTGCAACTAGGGGAGCAGTGGGCAACAGCAGCTCATCCCAGGCTCACCCCCTGAACCCATCTCCAAGGCCCCCTTTCTCTGACTTTTCAGTGAGCTGACAGCAGCCGGCCTTGATTCACTTCTTTCCTAAAATGCTTCTAGTGAGCAAAGCAGAGTCCCACCTAGGCTCTCTCCTGTGGCTTCTTCTACCTTAACCCCTTCCGTGTTTCACTGTCCCCAGCTTGAATAAAAGTACTCTCAAAGTCACCTGGACTCAAGCTGTGAAAGCTTCCCTGCATGAAGTCAAGAACCCACACACTACCAGCTGGCCCGAGGCAGACCCACTGTGGGCCAGGTCCCCTCCAGTAACACTAGTATTTGCTAACGTGTTTTCTTTAAGTTGACTCACTTTTTTAAAAAATATGTTTTTTATTGATTTCAGAGAGAGGAAGGAAGAGGGAGAGAGGAAGAGAAACATTGATCAGCTGCCTCCTGCACCCCCCTACTGGGGATCGAGCCAGCAACCAGGGCATGTGCCCTGGCCTCTCGGTACATGGGGCCACATTCAGCCAACTGAGCCACACCAGTCAGGCTTGATTCACTTTTATCCAGAAGAAATCTATTATTTTTAAGGGAAATTTCATATCACTGCTGTAAATGAAAAGCAACCTGTGTTGCTTGTCATGAATAGCAAGTAACTTCGAAAACAAATACAATGAAAGGAAAACAATATTATTAAATTGTAACCGGATGCATTTGCCCATGGAATGCTCACAGCCTGGAACCTGCTCCTGCCAGCCCCACCTCAACACCTCCATGCATGAACTCAGAGGACTGAGAGGGAAAGAAAAGGGAACAACTTCTCCACCAGGTGGATGACCCACTCAGTGTTTGTTAATGTAGCAGGTGTGTTTCCTAATATCCGCTGAAGTAATTAACGATTGTTCTATCTACACCTTAGGGAGCAGGTAAAGTGCCCACGGCTGTGTTCACCCTGTCTACCTTTCCATTTCTGTCTTTAGAAAAGGTACGGGTCTCCTAAGGCATGAAAGGTTGGTTGCAATTAGTCTCACAATAGGGTGGGTGTGGTCCCGACATTTCCCCAAAAACAAAAAGCTCTATTGAAGCTTAGTAACCTCCATCTTGTATAAAAACTGCTGTTTGAAATTCTCTGCTATTGTTAGATAGTCCCTTGTTCTGTAAACTCTGTCATTTTTAGGCAGTCTCTTATTCTGTAGAATAACTGTTTTAGTTTGAATAATAGAAAAAGATAAAAACTTAACTGTCTGACCTTGCAAGCTAACCATCTAACGTAATGGACTAATGCTGATAATAATTCCCATATTCTTATGCCAGATGTTTGTTTTTTAGGTATCCAAGATCACAAACTGACTGCAATAATAACCCACACAAAGCCCTTCGTAACGTCTGCAAAGAGCCCGAAAGGTATAAATACAGGAAACTTCCCTGTGTCTTTGCTCAGAGATTTGGAAGAAACACCTCCCTCTGGGCTACGAGTAATAAACGGCTCCTAATTGGCTCATTAAGGCATCTTGTATCTCACTGGCTGATTTACGATACAACACTATGTTATGGAGAAAGGAGGAATTGTTCATCCAGTGATCACAAATGAGTCACACATCCCAGCCACTTGAAAATCCTTTCCAAGCTTTTAGGAAAGAAGAAGCTGGTGTGATGAGGAGAGTGGTTTTAAATAACAGGTGCCAGGCTACGAGATCTGTTTGGACAAAGATAACCAGCCTGTGAGAACTGGGCACAGATGGAGATGATCCCGCGTCACCCTCTGGCTTCAGCACAGGTGCTACGTACTCACGAGTCATGTGCTGTTACTAACCCCAAAACTGAGCCACATGATCTGACAATGGGGAGTAATGTCGGAAGGCATCACCTAGCCCAGCGGTTCTCAACCTGTGGGTCGCGATCCCTTTGGCGGTCGAACAACCCTTTCACAGGGGTCGCCTAAGACCATCCTGCATATCAGATATTTACATTACGATTCAGAACAGTAGCAACATTACAGTTATGAAGTAGCAACGAAAATGATTTTATGGTTGGGTCACAACATGAGGAACTGTATTTAAAGGGCCAGAAGGTTGAGAACCACTGTCCTAGCCCAGTCAGAGAGAGGTCTCTCTCTGGCTTCAGTTTTCTCTGCTACATAATGGGGAAGGGGTTAATGAACCAGCGTGGAATTCCAGACTTGGGACATTTTCTATGTTTGTAAACCAGTAAAATTTCAGAAGACAACTTTTGACTACCAAAGGGTGGTCCACTTTTACCCTGCTAAGTAAGGCTATTTTCTTTTTTTCTCTTTTTTTAATATATATTTTATTGATTTTTTTTTTTACAGAGAGGAAGAGAGAGGGCTAGAGAGTTAGAAACATCGATGAGAGAGAAACATCCATCAGCTGCCTCCCCCCACTGGGGATGTGCCCGCAACCAAGGTACATGCCCTTGACCTGAATTGGGCCGACACTCTATCCACTGAGCCAAACCGGTTAGGGCAGTAAGGCTATTTTCAAAAGCAACTGCCATTCATGTTATTATTTCATTTTTAAAAGAGACAGAGCATTTTAACACAGACCAGAGGAAGGATGTAATCTCTTGAATAAACGCTACTGTCTGAAGCAATGCCTCTATTGTCCTTACTTTTCAAATTTCTCAGTAGACTAAACTGTTTCCATAGACCAGCAGTAATTCTTTCAAGCTCCAAGTCTGTGGATCTTTGCATAACCGTGGGGGTCAGTGTGTCCTGCCATCACCTTCTGCACCTGCCCCATCCACCAGTGCCCCTGAGGTGTCCCTCCCTCCACCTGACCGCACTCACCTGCAGAGATGAAGGCTATGATGAGCGTGGCACTAGTGTAGAGAAATCTGAAATACACAATGGTAGATGGAGAGTGTTGTCATGAAAAGAGAAACCTGGATGGGCAGGGCAGATGACGACCCTCCAGGCCAGTCCCTTGGAGAAAGAGGTCAGTGCCTGGTCTCCAAATCAGAACCTTGAGCCCTGATTCCTCTTGGCTGTGTAACCATGGGACAGGCACTGCCCTTCTCTAAGCCTCAGTAACCTTTTCTATGAAAGGAAATGTCTGGACCGACCTAGACCCCAAGATGGAAGTGCTGGGGTACTATAATTCAAGTCCACAATCCCAAGGTCATGGGGATCTCTTAGCAGTTTGGGGGTCTTGAAAGCATGGAGTAATAAAAGTAGTGCCTAAGTATGATTTATAATGAGAAGTGTAAATTTGGTCTTTGTCCTCGGCCCCTGACACAGGGCTCCTAACACCCTTTTAAATTCCCAAGTGATAAGAGCTGTAGGAGTATCTTTCGTTCTGATGAGGCAACTCTGGGTGGGCTCCTGGATAGGGCTGCTCACCAGAAAGACTAAGCCATGAGGTGACGCTTGGTATTTTCATCCCCTGCCCCCCTCCCCCAACTTCTCTAGAGCGGGGTGGGGGGGAGCCGGGGGGGGGGGGGAGGTGTTGAAAGCAGAGTTAATAACTGACCATGCCTACTTGAGGAGCCTCCATAGAATCCCAATAGCAAGGGGTTCGGAGAGCTCCCAGGTGGGTGAACACATCCACATGCCAGGAGGGTGACGCACCCCAATTCCACAGGGACAGAAGCTCCTGTGCTCGGGACCCTCCCAGACCTCACCCAATGCATCTCTTCATCTGTCTGTCTGTCTGTATCCTTGATCCTCCCCTTATTGAACCAGTAAAGCCCAGCTGGTGTGGCTCGGCGGTTGAGCGTCGACCTAGGAACCAGGAGGTTCCTAGTCAGGGCACATGCCCAGGCTGTGGGCTTGATCCCCAGTGTGGGTTGTGCAGGAGGCAGCCAATCAATGGTTCTCTCTCATCATTGATGTTTCTATCTCTCTCTCCCTCTCCCTTCCTCTCTGAAGTCAATATATATATATATATATATATATATATATATATATATATATACCCCTATATTTTTATATTTATATTTTAAAAAGAACAGGGAAATATAAGCCCGTGCTTCCTTTGAGTTCTGGAAAATGTTTCCAGAAAATAATTAAGTCCAAGAGGTGGGGGTGGGAGTCATGGAACCTCTAATTTGTAGCCAAATCCGACCGAAGTTGTGAGTAACCTGGGGAACTTACCACTGTGGTTGGCATCTAATGTGGGGGGCAGTCTCGTGGGATCTGATGCTATCTCCAGGTAGAGGATGTCAGAATCAAGTTACACTGAAGGACACCAGCTGGTGTCCAGAATTGCTCAGTGTGGGAAAACTCCACACACACTTGGTGACCAGAGTGTCAGAAGGGAAGTGTTCTGAGTGGAAGTAAGGAGAAAGGAGAGAGGTAGGTTTCTCCGATACAGTTGGTGTCGGTGAGGTGGGATTGGCCAGAGTGATCCTGGCTCACAGAAACAAGTGGTTTGTGAAAAGAAAGGATGAAGGGTGTGGGGTGAAGAACCTCTGATTCCTGGGTGACCACATTGCCGGAAGCCAGTTCCGGCATATCAACAGGGCTGAATCTTCTGGAGTGGCAAGGATATTTCCCCAAACCTGAAAAGGATGATTGCTTACTGCCAGACAGCTAAGGGCATCTTAATTTACATGTTATTGCTTCCTACTGGCCAAATACCTGAACGGCCATAGGCAAATTCTTCCAATCTGACAATGGATTCTGTACCTAACCCTACCCTTTGAAGTGTATATCTCCACCTTGCCTTAGGACAATTTGTGTTAATAAATAGCAAGGGGTCCTGAGACAAGGAGAACTTAGTTCCTTTAGCTGAGTCTTCTCTGACTCCCTAATGCCTTTCAAAATTATGTTTCGTCTCTGGACTCTTATTTAATTTACGCACAGCCCTTCTCCAGATTTCTGAACGCTTCGTGATGCCGGATCAAGACCACTAGTGTTACCACATGGTCCCTCATGGTGTGGACCAGCAGCGGTGCGACAATAAGTTACCGAAGGTAAAATGACCAACAGAATTTAGAGATGAGTCCAACTCTCTCGGAATTGGTTCACTGGATGCATAAGAAAATGCAAACTAATAAGAAAAGGGTGAAACACATAATCTCTTGGTCACTGTTAGCTATAATAGCTCAAGTGAAATTAAAAGAGAGTGCTGGGTCAGACCTTGAGGCTGGGCCAAGTTCAGAGCTGGGTCAGTCTGAGCCGGCAGCCGCTAGCCTCAAAGCCACCCGCCAAGGGAAAAATTATGCAGGGACAATAGAAAGCACCTCTAAGACCTCAGTGCGAGAGGAGAGCCAAACCAAGATCCCGTTGAAACCAGGGGCACAGCGTGAAGGAGGCATTTCACTTCGTGGATCGGTGTCATCAGCTTCCCGGGGAAGCTTTACTGAAATGGATTGTGAGGGTAACTAACTTGGGGGTATGTCTTTGGTTCTGAATGCTGCGGTGGAAGAGCATGTCGGGCGGAGACAGGACCCACAGCTCACCATGGAACAATCGCAGATGGCTGTATGTGATCCAGCACAAGGAGGCTGCTCCTGAGGGAGGGGCCAGCCTGGCGCACTTGATAAAAGCCACTGTACAGCCTAGCCGTGTCCCCTATCTGTGCCCAGTGGAGCACCCCAGATGAGGCAGCTGCTATGCTTTGTATGCAAACCACCTGGGAGTGACTGTAATGAGGACCAGGACGGGGACCCAGTGATATGCCTGTTACCCAGGTCATGCTGAATGCCGTGGTTAAGGGGGCCCTTTCTCATGGGCACCCCACATAACCTAATCCTGCAAAACCGAAAAACAGTTCAGGAAGCCTTATTGAGTTTGGTGTCTCTGCTTCCCCTCCAGCCTCTTACAGATGTTAATAACTGCATTAGGTTCATTAACAAGAGAATGGGGGAAGGCAGAGGAGAGAATCCAGGGACTGGTTTTAGCAGGGTAGAAATTTTCTTTTTTTTTTTTTTTTTAATCCTCACCCCAGGATATTTTTTTAATTGATTTTAGAGAGAGAAGGAAAAAGAGAGAGAAACATTGATGTGAGAGAGAAACATCGATCAATTGCCTCCTGTATGTGCCCCGATGGGGGATCGAACCCGCAACCTAGGTATGTGCCCCGATCAGAATCAAGTCACAATTCTTGGTGCATGGGACAATGTTCCAACCAACTAAGCCACCAGCCAGAGCAGCAGGGTAGAAATTCTAAATGGTTAAGGAATAGGTGATTAAAGCAAATAGTGCTGTGTTTTCACCATCAAATTTAGGATTATGGCCTTTCCTTCCTGCCTTTGTATGAGGCCAAAGAGACACTGGCTCCTTTGACAACCTTAAAAGTGGACTCCAGGAATGTCACGAACACACTGACCTTTGCCACCAAACCCAATGTCACTGGGCACAAAGGCTACGGCTTTTGGCCATCTGCCACCAGCCAGGGCCTGACACACTTCGGGTGGTAGAATGGAGCTGCCACCCCTACTTTTCCCAAAACAACCCCCTTAGCATCCAAAAGAGCCGGCCTTCAGGCTGGGCCCAAATGGGTTTTCTGGTTCTGTTCATCACGCCACCGCCCCGCTGACCTCAGCCTCCTGGCCCAAAGAAACCTGACACTTGCCCATCTTACCAGCACCATGGGCCTTAAACCAGAGGTTTTGATACAACACTACCAAAGGCTGGCTGGCCAAGAGGACCCCCTGCAGGTCCCCCAGCCATTAAGTGCCCCCAAACAAGTCCCGTCTTTTATCCCAGGTTAGAAAATGTTGGAAGCCAGAGACAGAGATGACAATGAGAAACCTAGGCAGCAGTCGCTTGTGGCAGATTCATCAAGTTAAAGATTGACAACAGGGTCAGAGTCGCTTGACCCCTTGCGGGGGACCCAAAGCCTCCTACACAGGAGTGGGTAAATACTGGGGTGAAAAAGAGAAGTACCAAAACCCACTGGTGAAGCTCTGACGAGGGTGACAATTTTTGTAAGAGAACATGAAAATGTAAGAGTTGATAAGACTGTGGAAGTGGGACTGTTTAAACAGGTTTTATGAGAAGAGCTGTGTTCCCTTTGCGTAATGTTTTATGAGAGTGGCTAACACGTCAATCCTGGGGAACACAGCCATGTGGAGCTAGACCAAGGAGATGGCAAAGGTCTGTGTGCACCTCCCAGTGCCAATTACGGGACTTTGAACTAGAGAACTTTCACCTGAGGGGCATTTATTATCTTGTTATTAGACATTAATTGAAGCTACATGGATGACTAAAGAATACAAAATGGCCCTGACCGGTTTGGCTCAGTGGATAGAGCGTCGGCCTGCAGACTGAAGGGTCCCAGGTTCTATTCGGGTCAAGGGCATGTACCTTGGCTGTGGGCACATCCCCAGTAGGGGGCGTGCAGGAGGCAGCTGATCGATGTTTCTCGCTCATCGATGTTTCTAACTCTCTATCCCACTCCCTTCCTCTCTGTAAAAAATCAATAAAATATATTTTAAAAAAAAGAATACAAAATGATCTTAAAACCTGCAATACCACAATGTCTAGGACGATGTTGTAGAAACGCCCCAACGCCGGTGGCAGAGCCCAGGCGAGTTCCCTGATGGAATGGTTTATACGAGATCACACATTGCCTGGGAGTCAAGGAGGAGATACTGCCAAGCAGGAGCCAGTCTCCCCCTAGGTCTGAGCCCAGGCCTGTGTGAGGGGCTGCCGGGGCTCCTGTCACTTGGACACTGTCTCACACAGGACGCTTAACTGATCACCAGGGAGCTGCCTGGCTTGTGGATGGCAGTTCCATGGTGGGTGGACAACCACTCTGTTTGTGAGGCCACCACTCTGATCAAAGAAGGTAGAAACCGATCAGCTCTGTGGCTGAGCTGCAGGCTGTTTTCCTAGCAAAGACGAAGAACCGAACAATGGAAAGGGGCCCTGTGTTTGGGTTTTTACTGACTCATGGGTAGTGGCAATGACCTGGCCACATGGTCGGGCAGAGGGCAGTGGAAGCTTAGCCTATTAAAGGGATGCCTGTATGGAGTGTAGCCCTGTGGAAATCCCTGTCCATCCAAAGAGCCCCTTGCCAGGTTCAGAGAATGACTGAAATCAGCAAGCCTATGTCCCTATGTGCTCCTTCCAGGTGGCCACCTGGGTCCATAACACGAGGGGACCTGGAGCTGCTGCAGCAATGCACAGATGGGCTGGACCTAGACGTTGCTCTCTTGCAACCTCTGAGGCACAAAAGTCCAGTAAGAGCTGTTCTGCCTGCCAGCAAAAGACACCGAGACTGCAGATGGCCTTGTGGCAGATCCCCTGGGGGGAAGGCCCTGAACAGAGCTGGCAAGAGAAACTGGTGCTGGAAGCCCTGGGCACTACAAATGGTTCTGACAGGAATAGACTCTGACTCTGGACTGGGCTTTGCTGATCAGTGGTAGCTGCAAATACCCAGCGTGCTATAAAAGAACCAACGTTGTACCAATCTGGACGGCTGACCATCATTTCCTCAGGCCAAGGAGCACCCTTGACAGCCCATAATGTCTGACAATGGACAGAGATATCCTCAGAGTACTAGTTTGATAGAGGATTGGGACGAGCTATTGAAACACTGGTTGTGGAAAATGGGGGGAAATGAGGCCATGAAGGCCTGGCTTACCCGCACTCACAAGTGTGTGCTCATACTCAGCAGATCCCCTATTTTTCTAGCGTCCCCACTGGACAGATCCCTATTTTTCTAGCGGGTCTGGAGAAGAGGACATAGGGAAGGAAAGTTGCTGGTATTCTTTCTGCCTCACATCGACTCAGCTGTGCTCCCCGCTGGGCACAGGACCACTACAAGGAATGGAAGCGGGCGGATTCCTACCCGAGAAACTATAATGTGTTTGACCTTTATGTTACAATTCCTAAGGCCTCCATGGGGCAGGTTGTGCCTTCAGTCCATCTGGCAAAACTCGGGGCCAACAGTGAATGCTGCTAGATGCCCACCTGGTGGTAGAGACAGCCCGCTAGTTCTGCACCTGTGTAGCCTGACCCCATCCGAACAGAAGTGGACAGAGGCGGGCGAGGGCACCTGCTAGACTAGTATTGCTGCCTGCAACCCAGACCAGCAGGTGGAAACGGTTGGGCATCAGTGGAGGAAGAGTAGCTGAAGGTAAGGGAATGAGTAAGTGCATTATGCAGTGAGGGAGGTCCAATATCACATTAACACCTCAAAAGAGGCTCCGAGCAAGAGATGATACTGTCTCTTAGCTCAATGACACCAGCTGCCTAAAAGGGTGAAACCAATAAATTGCTGACACCACTCCTGCTTTTGGAACTGGGCAAGATCATAAAGAAGCCGGCAGACCCGAGTGGCCCTGGAAGACATTCTCAGAGGATACGATGACGGACTGGATAGTAATTAAGACTGAGTGGGATTAATAATGTGCTGTATTTTTTGAACTTTATGACTGCTTTGCTATAAGGAATCCGTGCTCCCACACCAGGGGATGATCTGTGGTACTATGATTTTATAATAAGAAATATATATTCGGTCTTTGTCCCCAGCCCCTGACACAGGGCTCCTAAAACCCTTGTAAATTCCTAAGTGATGAGAGCACTAGAGGATCTTTTGTTCTGATGAGGCAACTCTGAGTGGGTTCCTGGATGGGGCTGCTCAGCAGAAAGACTAAGCCATGAGGTGAAGCTTGGAACTTTCAGCCCTGTCTCCCCCATACACTTGTCAAGAGCGGGGAGGGGCTAGAACTAGAGTTGATGATTGATCATGCCTCCTTGAGGAAGCCTCCATAGAACCCCAATAGTACGGGGTTCAGAGAGCTTCCAGGAGGGTAAAACACCTCAACTCCACGGGGATAGAAGCACCTGTGCTGGGGACCCTCCCAGCTTTACCTGCATGTTTTATGAAAATGACTAATATGGATCTATCTCTTCACCTGGCTGTTGATCTGTACCCTTTATCCTGTCTTTTTTTTTTTAATTGATTTTTTACAAAGAGGAAGGGAGAGAGACAGAGTGTCAGAAACATCGATGAGAGAGAAACATCGACCAGCTGCCTCCTGCACACCTCCCACTGGGGATGTGCCTGCAACCAAGGTACATGCCCTTGACCGGAATCGAACCTGGGACCTTTCAGTCCGCAGGCCAATCCTCTATCCACTGAGCCAAACCGGTCTTGGCCCTTTATCCTGTCTTTTAATCAACTGCTGAGCACAGGTGTTTCTCTGAGTTCTGTAAGCTGTTCTATCAAATAATCAAACCCACAGGGGACGAGGTCATGGGAACCTCTGGTCAGTAGCCAAGTTGGACAGAAGTTGGGGGTTAACCTGGTGAAGGGAAGCAGAGTTTGCCACCCCAAAATATGCCTCTTTGGGACACTGGTTATTTTAAGTTAGTTCTTTGTAAGAAACAAAAAACTCAGAAAGAACCTTTGACCTTCCTCCTAACTGCCTAAAAAAATTGGAGGACCTGCTCCAGAATGGGAGGGATCACAGATAGCAGCAGTTTAATCTGAACCTAGCAAGGCTGCCTGATCAAAGTGCCCTCTGTGTCCCAGGGTTAAAGATGGTCCACCCAATGTTTGTTTACCAAACCTTTGCGTTTCCACCTCCATGTGAATTGCCTTCCTCCCCTCTGACGTCCCAAACCACTACCCCCCCTTTTCTCTTTAGCTCAAGATGACAGATAAGCCTCAACTGCCTGATTTTGAGCCCCTTATTCTTATGGAACCCCTGTATGTACATATGTAATTAAATTTGGTTATTTTCTCCTAGTTGTAGGGTGCGGCTGTGGGGTTAAGCCTCGACTGACCTGTTGGCAAAGCCACAAACAAGTCCCAGCTTAGAGGGGCACAGCCCTCTTGGTATAACGAGGCTTGACCTTATGAGCTCCCTAGATCTTATCTGGGTAGCTAATGGGCTATGGGAGGTAACTATGGTGACCACTACCTTATTTACCTCTGGCTATAAAATAAAGGCTCAGCTTGCTGTCTGGGTCTCTCTCTGTGGCCTCAGCCAGGCACAGGAGATCCACCTAGACCCAGCTTATTCTCTTTGTCTGTCTTTTCTAAATCCTTTCCGCGCCCCCCCCCCCCCCCCCCCCGCCTCAGGCTCACCGAACCCTTGGCTGTGCTGGCCTGGCACACCTATTAATCTTCTTCATGTTAATTTAACTATCAGATCAGCCAGAAAAACTAAGAGTGGAAAGAGGGGAAATTTTCTCCTCCCCCACATGGGAGATCTACCACCTGGGACATCTGAAATGGGGGGGCAGTCTCCTGGGACGGAACCCTTAACTGTGAGATCTGACACTACCTCCAGGCAGAGGATGTCAGAAATGAGTTACACTGTAGAACACCCAGCTGGGGTGTGGAAAACCCACACATTTGGTGACCGGAAGTGTCAGAAGGGAAGTATTCTGTAGGAAAGTAAAGAAGAAACACAGAAAGGGAGACTGAGATTTTGTTAACGTGCTAAGGCTGGGGAAAGAGTTAGGGGCAAAGGAAGGGGAGGGAAGAAGGGAGACAAGGACCAGGAAACTGAGATAAAGTCATTCTGCACCCAAACACTTAAAGAGCAAGGGACTAACTTGACTCTCGGGGTATTTCCTGGCCCAGCCTGCTCTCCAGTCCCTCTGTCTGACAACTCATCTCTGGCACACCTGCCAGGAGGTGCTTGCTTTGGGTCCCATCAGCCCCCAGTAAGCCGCTGCTTATCACTGGACATGCCAGCCCCAGGGGCACCTGTGTGAACAAGATAAAGCCCCTGACCTTCCCTGACTCATGTGCATGGGAAACCCCCACAGGCTCCCTTTCGGTCAGAAGAGACGGGAAGCTCCACCACTGGAGACCCCATAAGACATAACCAGCTAAGCCTTTTGGGGGATGATGGAGGGAGGAGGAGGATGACTAAGCCTGGGCCCCCTGGGTGTGAGGCCTCGCAGGAGATGTGGACAAGGATCTCCAGGAAGAAGGCGGAGTGACAATTCCAGGTATTGCTCATTTGGTAACCCTGGCCCCAGGAAGTAGGCCTGAGCTCCTGCTCAATTCAGCATCATGCTGAACACACATGCACATGGAGCCGAAGGGGAAGCGAGAAAAGGGAAGTAGGGATGTGGGAAGGTTAGTCCACCCCCTGCAAAGCTCCTGGGACAGGGCCTGGCAGGGCTGCCCAGTTGCCTGGCTTGGGTTCCCCTCAAGTGAGGCTGCTGCCAGAGGAACTCCTCTTACCCACCTGTGCCCAGGCTGGGCCTTCGGGACTTACATGGCTATGAGGCGGGCCACGGTGGTCTTGAAACGGTCAAAGATGAAGCCGGTGGGGAAGGTCATGAAGTTGTTCATGAAGGACGCCAGGGTGAAGATGAGTGAGAACCTCTCATCCTGGGCTTTGCAGTCTGGAGGAGAGACAGGAAGAGCTCCGGAGCCTGGGGTGGAGGGGCCAACCTCTCCTACACCCTGGACTTCCTCCAGGTGGGCATCCAGCCTGGCTCCCGTCTGGGGCAGCCCCTGCCACCTCAGACAGCTTGCCTCTGGAAAGTTCTCCCCTAGGTGAGCTGAAATGTGACGGTCCCTAATTACCCCTCAGAAGCTGGTACGTCCCTCCCCAGGCAGTCCTTGGACTAAGGTTGGGGCACAGAGGAAGGCTGGCTGACAATCCCTCCCTTTCTCCACAGAAAGGATGGCAGGGCCCTAGCTGGTTTGGCTCAGTGGACAGAGCATTGGCCTGCGGACTGAAGGGTCCCAGGTTTGAGTCTGGTCAAGGGCACATGCCTGGGTTGTGGGCTCAGTCCCTGGTGGAGGGGCGTGCAGAAGGCAGCCGATCAATGATTCTCTCATCATTGATGTTTCTCTCTCTCTCTCTCTCTCTCTCTCTCTCTCTCTCTCTCTCCCCCCCCTCCCCCCTTCCTCTCTGAAATCAATAAAAGTATATTAAAGATAAAAAGAAAGAAAGGATGGCAGGGTGGCCAGGAAGTGAAGTCCTTCCTACCCTTCCCACCACCTGGAAACCAGACTCAGCTTCCCAGAGAAGTCATCGCTCCCTTACCTTCCATGCCCGTGGCATTGCCCATCAGCCTGGCATCGGGTTCACACAGCTCCTCAAAGTAATGCTCTTTTTTGAAGACAAACACCAGGGATGCCCAGCCAAAAAGGACGCCCGCAAAGCCCAGGCATTCCAGCAGCCCCGTCAGCAGGGTGGCCACACGCAGGGGCAGTCCCTGGCCCGGCATGGCCTGGGCTATAGCCGCTCCTCAGATCCCACTGGCACTGCTGGCCTCCCCAGCTGACCTCAGGAGTGCAAGGCCTGGGGCTGGAGCACTTGGAAAATTCCCCTGGCAGGCCCTTCCGTGCACGTAGCGCTCTGGTCCTGGCTGTTTAGGCTTGGGCAGAAACCATCCGTTGGGGATGTCTCCAGATCCTGTAAAAGAAGGCAGAGGCTGCTCAGTGAGGGCGAGGGGGAGGGGAGAGGCAGAGGTGGACAAAATCTTTTCTGTGGACTGGAGGGCCAGGCCAGCTGTTGGAAACAGCTGCAAAAGGCCTCGCCATTCCACCACCGCTGGCAGCAGGTGGCGAAGCGGGAACTGAGCCCAAATTCTGGACACTGTCCACGGACATAATGACAGCAGCAACTCTGCACCAGTGGCAGGGGGTGAGGGGTCTGCATACAGGTTCTCACAAATCCTCGGGACAACCTGGCAGACTCCGTCTTTGGTTAGCTTCCCTTTACCGCCAGGGAAAGCAAACGCTTCAGGGTATTTTGTCAACCTACCCCAGGTCACATGGGCTAGTCAGTCACAACTTGAGCCAGGCTCATGCCCAAAATATCCCAACTCCAACGGGAGCCTCCCGCCCTGACACTCAGCTAGGACTCCCACGTCCGCTCCCGCCGCCCCTCTGCTCATCAGCATCTGGCCCAGAGGCCCAGCCCTCACCCCAACCCGCACCCACCCCGCAGAGGGCCCCCCAGGAGTCAGCGGCCTCACAGTCCATCGCCCCCCACCCCGTCCCCTACTCCCTGTCCCGTGGCCAAGCGGCCAGCCCCTTCCCGGCGCCCTACCCGCCGCCTCCTCTCCGGGCTGTGGGCTCCGTACTCTCCGCGGTTCGGATTCGCGCCTCGCCTCTCGTCCCCACCCCGCCCCGCCCCGCCCCGTCCTGTCGCTGCCCCAGCTCCAGCGGAGCCGGAAGGACCCAGACAGGCACAGGCGGGGCCCTGTTCGCGGCGGTTACACCTCCCGCTCTCCATCACTTCCTTCTGCTCGCTGGCAGCCGCTGCTGCCCGCAGCCTCTCCCACCTCTGGAATCCTGCTCTTGGATCTTCTCTCCTTTCTCTCCCTCCAACCCCAGGCGGCGCCGGCGGCACCACCCCCCTTTTTTGTTAACTCCTCACCCGAGGATTATTTTTTCCATTGATTTTTTTAGAGAGAGAGGGAAGGGGAGAGGGAGGGAGAGAAACATCGATGTGAGAGAGACACATCGATTGGTTGCCTCTTACACGAACCTGGGACCCTTCAGTCGGCTCTCTCTATCCCCTGAGCCAAACCAGCTAGGGCCCTTTTCATCTCTCTCTCTCTCTCTCTCTCTCTCTCTCTCTCTCTCTCTTTCTCTCTTTTCAATATATCAGAGAGGAAGGGAGAGGGAAAGAGAGATAGAAACATCAATGATGAGAATCATTGATTGGCTGCCTCCTGCACATCCCCCACTGGGGATAAAGCCCGCAACCCAGGCATGTGCCCTTGGCTGGAATTGAACCTGGGACCCTTCAGTCTGCAGGCTGACGCTCTATCCACTGAGCCAACCCAGCTAGGGCCCTTTTCATCTCTCTTGATGCTCTTTCAGCCTCCCAGGTCCCTGGCCTCTCCTCCCTCCCAACCAAGTTAGCGCTAATACCATGGCAGACACAGCAGACCCACAGAACCCACCCGACCAAACTCACAGCGCACACACAGAGGACACACAGCCACCTGCAGACACACGGACACACACACACACACCCCCCTATGCCTTGTGCTTTTCTTTGGCCACGTGGGAGGGCACAGAACACACCTTTCCCCATTTGCCCACCAGCTTAACTCTCTCCTAATCTCATGCTCCCAGGATGGCCAGCAAATCCCAAGCACAGCAGATCTGCCAGCACAGAATCCAACAGAGGCCCAGGGACCAGGACTGGACAGCTTTCCAGAACACTCCCTGGGGGTGCCCTACCTCTTCGCCTCCCAGGACCCCTTTGAGTACCTCCTGCCTCACCCCCAGCCCAGGTTCTGAAAGAGCCTCCCGGCCAGACTGCATTGATTAAGTATTCATTATCGCCCCATTTTTTATTAATCAAAGACATGTATAATTGCCCATCAGAGCCTGTGATCAGCATGAGATGGCCAGCCGAACCAGCTGCGCTGCTAGCATTCTGGCCCAGAGCAAGTGAGCTGCCAGCTTCCTGGCCATTTCCTCCTCAAAGCTGAATGGGGGGCGGGGGGGGGGCTTCTTGCTCATTCAGTGCAGTAGGTTGACCCTCATGCCCGGCCTCCTGGATCCCTGCCTCCGGGGTCCCAGGGACTCAAGCTATTCCAAGCCCACCCTTCTTTTTAAGGAGGAAGAAATGAGAGGTTAGGACAGCGGAAGGTCAGAAGAACCAGGGAGTACTTACCAGATCTCTACCAAACCACAAAGGATAAAGAAAATACAACCGCCCTAACTGGTTTGGCTCAGTGGATAGAGCGTCAGCCTGCGGACTGAAGGGTCCCAGGTTCAATTCTGGTCAAGGGCATGTACCTTGGTTGTGGGCACATCCCCAGTAGGGAGTGTGCAGGAGGCAGCTGATCGATGTTTCTCTCTCATCGATGTTTCTAACTCTCTATCCCACTCCCTTCCTCTCTGTAAAAAATCAATAAAATATATTTTAAAAATAAATAAATAAATAAAAAATAAAAGAGTCCTTATGTTTAAAAGAAAGAAAGAAAATGCAACCACCCAAGCCACTGACCGCATGGAATGGGGGAAGCTACGGTCTTGTTCCCCGGGTGTCATAGTTACACAGGCCTGAGCAAGCTCTCTGCCTGCCCCACTGTGAGATGAGAGCTGTAGTGCTTAATTACAGTCATTGTCACAAAAGAAATAGGAGGTGAGTTTGTTGTTGCAGGGACTTAACCTAGAACATTTGGACATTAGAGAAAACAATGTCTGATGCTCTCTCTATCAATCTTTTCCTTCAGAATTAACTGATGGAATATATTTTTAAAAACACACACAATTAACTGATGGGGGGAAAAACACATAAGAAAATATAGCCGCTTAGACAAACAGGATTTAAGATGCAAGATTTTCTGTTACTGCAAGACACAAAGACACTGAAATTAATTCAAGCCCTATCTCCTGCTCTGGCTTACAATTTGGTCTCCTGAGGACCTGGGGGATCAGTGAGTGTGGAAGTAGCAAGGAAAGAACAGAAGAAGTCGAAGCAAATAGAGATTTTAGAATGTCAATTGGCAGGAGCCTGTCAGAAAGGCCCAGCTCACCGGCTGTCTGGGCATCCAGGACTGGAGCTCAGGACTTAGGACACCTCGTCTTGTTACCTCTCTCTTGGTTCTCAGTGCCCCGGCTCACACCCACATCAATGTCTGCAGAAGGCACTGCCCCTAGGGATGTAAGTCTCACGGAAACTGTCAGGGCAGAATGACAGGATGAACCATCCCCATTTGTGTTGGCTCGAGTTCCAGCAGCTAGCAGAGGCACCTGCTCATCGGATCACTCTCATGCCTCACTGATGAGGATTAACATGTAACATCAGAGAGAGGAGTGATTATAATAAGATCTGATGGCGCCCCCAATGTCTTCATTCTTTCTCCCTTTACTTCCTTTCCTCTTCACCCTGCATCCTTTTTTAATGTATTGATCCGCTCAACAAACATTCGTGGTGCCTGAGGCTTTGTGCCAGAGGCTGGGATTCCGAGAGAAGAGATTCAGCACCTTCCTTCAAGGAGCCCGTTCTCTAGCTGGGGAGACAGACGAAGAACCCCAAGATTTCTGGCGTGATCAGCACATGCAGGCAGCACAGCACATGCAGAGGCATGGAGCCCAGACAGAGCAAGAACATTCAGGAACCAGCGAGAGCAGACACGGCCAGGGGAATGGCCACGCTGGAGGCTGGAGTGACGGCCTAAGTGAAGGCACTTGGACAGCAGCCCATATCACTTAATCACGTCTATTGATTCTACCCCTGAATATCTCTCCTGTCCATCCTTGGCCACTGCCTTCTTCAGACATCATCTCTCACCCGGACATTACCTGCTTTCAAACCATCGCCATTCAGCCGTTGATTCCCATGGTTCTCTTTGATAAAGGCCTTGGATTTCAGATATGCCAAGCAAAAAGACAAATGAAGCAAAACATAAACTTTTTGTCCTTGCAAAATCCAGGCTTGTGCAAATCAAAATATCTGGGTTTACCAGCTTTGGTCTTCAAAGTGGTTTCAAGAGTTTGTTTTTAGAAGATAAAAGATAAATTCAAATTTTTTTCATTCCAACTCGGGAGAAAATATGCACCATCTTGAAGCAATACCAAAAAAAAAAACACACAAAACAAGCACCCACAGATTTTGGGCCAATTTACTGATTTTATGGATCCCTTTGAGCTTCAGTCTCCTCACCTATAGGTAAAAGTGGAATTGGGTTGTTGTATGGATTAAAGATAATGCAAGAAAATCACCCAATTAGTATACTAGCTAATTGATACATGCAGCTTTTGTTGTTAACAAGAAGTATTAATTACTGGAAAACAAAGGAAATCAGGAAGTCATATTTGAGGATTGCAAAGTGCCCCTAACCTAAAAAAGGAATAAAGGAGGGGAGATATCACCGCATGCTGCGTGAGCTCAGCTGTCTGCATCAGGAGTCATACCCCAGGGAACTGAGCTCTAGGTAACACCCAAGCAAACATCAGTGTAACCAGGGTGACCTCCCCACTCGAGAAGGCTTGTCCAGAGCAGGGGCCTGTGTGTGTGCGCTGTGAGCTGTGGGAAGGAGAAGGCTTGTCCAGAGCAGGGGCCTGTGTGTGTGTGTGCTGTGAGCTGTGGGAAGGAAGGCTCTTCAAGAACCACAGAGGACAGAGGGGGAGGGAGTCTGACAGCTGGCCCTTCAAGGTGTCTCCCGCTGTGCTCAGCGGTTCTGACAAGCCTGGGAGCCTCTTCGTAGCCCTGAATGAAGATGAGGCCTCCTTGCTCTGGGGAGACTTTTCTCTAACCAAGGGTGAATCCGAAAGGACGCCCTAAAGCTACTGGGGTTGCTCTAGCCAGTCAAGTCAACCAGCTCAGCCCTGGAGGATGTTGGAGTCAGCAGACGTTTGCAATCAGATCAGTCTCCCTCTGCATGCATGCGTGCTTTCAGGGGAGCAGGGCTCCCCGACCAGCCACAGGGAGCTTCCGGGCCAGTTCCTGTGATAGAAAAGAGGCCACATGAGCCGCCTGCTGCTCATTGCCCTCCACCCAGCTCTACGTCCATGTTCACCAAGAAACCGTCTATTGGTAATTGACTTCTCACATAGACTTTGCCAGAACAGAGTACCCTGGGTGCACTGACAGCTTCTGAACCTCCCAAGCTAAGGACCACACCTGACCCCTGAGAGGTAACGTAACACCTATCAGTAGGACCTCATATTCACTGAGCGCTGACCACCCATCAGGCACCATTCTAAATGCTTTGTGCTGACTCTCACGACCTCTCACGACAATCCTGTGGAGACGGGTGTTGTTAGCATCCATTATCTGGGCCACCTGAGATAATACAATTAATTAATGAATTAAGCAATTCCCCCGAGATCACAGAGGTAGTCAGTGGCAGAGCTGGGATATTCTTAACCAGTACCCCACCAGCCTCCCTGAGCCCCTCACCCCAGGTGCTGGACAGAGC